CACACTGATGCATGTGTGTGTGCAGATGTGTGTGTGGAAATCCTGCTGACAAATGTGCTGTGTTATTTTCCACATCAGCCTCCAGTCTTCTCTCTTCTCTAACCGGAGCCATTCCTCCCTCCCTCTCTCCCTGTTGTAGGACTTGGGTGAGACCATTCCTCTGATTGTCGAGAGCTGCATCCGCTTCATCAGTCACCATGGTGAGTGGAATTCTCCACTGAAGACACAAGTTTAGCATCAGCTTTCCCTTTACTATGATTGATTACATTATTATGTCAAATGTGATTGGTACTTGATCAAATTAAAGTGTGAATTTTACTAAAAATGCAAACTCTCCACAACTTGATTTAATAAGCACTGTTGTGGGTTTATGTCTGTGCAGGCCTGCAGCATGAGGGCATCTTCAGAGTGTCAGGCTCTCAGGTGGAAGTCAACGACATCAAGAATGCCTTCGAGAGAGGTACGACTGCAGTTTTCCGCAGGAAAAGATTTAAACGGAATGTGTTTGTCCGTTGCTTCAATATCTTTTCTCACCCTTCTCCCTCCTCTATCTCTCTCCCTCCCTCTCTTCTCCGGATGTAGGTGAGGACCCTCTGGCAGGGGACCAGAATGATCACGACATGGACTCTATCGCTGGTGTCCTGAAGCTCTACTTCAGAGGACTGGACCATGCACTCTTCCCTAAGGAAGTCTTCCATGACCTCATATCCTGTGTTTGTAAGTTATGCGTCATTTTGTCGCTTTGTGTGAATGTGTGTGTGTGTGTGTGTGTGCATGATTGTGTGAGTAATCTCCTGGGTGTTATTTTCCAGCGATGGAGAGCCTGCAGGAGCGAGCAGTCCACATTAAGAAAGTTCTGCAGTCTCTGCCGAGCAAAACCCTCATTATGATGAGATACCTGTTCGCCTTCCTCAACCAGTGAGTAGCACCACACGCACACAGCAAAAACACAAGGAGTAAAACAGTTGGTGAGAAATCAATGTATAGCTGCTGTATCAATAAAATGATCTGAATAAGACGGATCTTTGTTGCTGCAATGTGTGGTATCAGCTGTACCGCTTTTCATATTTGTGTCACAACAACCTCAGGCCTGAACCGTGCAAATCAAAAGAGGCAACATCGTCTTTGGTCATTCTTATGTTTTCAAACGGCAACATAAATGCTTAACAGGCAGAGCTGGACAAGATATGTGCTCAAAAACAGTAGAAATAAAACCCAGCATTATATGAGCTCAGTGTCACGTCATGTTTATTCACCATGAACCATAAAAAGGATCTGTCACTTATAATGGTCAAATAAAGGAACTGAAGCTGAACAGAATGAAATGCACCACAAAAACTGATCAAGTACAAGATCAAATACACAACATATTTTACATATAGAGCACAAAACCTGAAACTTCCTCAGCAGTTTATAGTAGGGCCTTTCTCTCTGCTTATCTGCTACCCCATGCACATTCAGTAGTTTCATTAACACCACACTGATTTCAGAAGGCCTCTCTTTGGCCTTCTCACAACAAATCAAAACAACTTAACTTTTGTGAGAAGTTAAGCTGGGAACCAATGGAAAAGTCCAAAGTGCAAAAAGTATTTCTACCCCTTAAATTATTCAAAGAACTGGAAATAGTTTAATCTCCCACTACCAGTCAAGTTTATTTCTGTCTTTAGGGGCTTTACAGGCTCACATCAGGCACAAACGATCTTCAAACAGACAATGACAAACTCCACAAAAAACACAAAGTAAACGTGATTGTAAATCAATGGTAATATACTGTAACAAAATACTTGCATATGTACTTTGTTTAGTAGGGTAGTAGTTGAATAAATGTTATTACCCAATACAAATTCAATTTTACAGACACATTCCAAGCTCCATCCATGACAAAGCCTTTCACTAAAGGGAGATAGTAAAAGGGAGTGACAGAAGCAAAGAATCAGGATGTGGGAGACCTGAAATCTGAGACTCCTGGGTAAACCGAGTGATCCCTGACAGAAGGGGAGCTGCTTGCTGGCGAAGTGATTTACTCTGCTCCTGCTTCTTCTCACACACTGAAACACATACACATCATTTTAATATCTCAGGCAACGTATCACACAAAGCGATGTTTCTTGGGTAGTGTTGGACTGTTAGACTTGGTGCTATCTGACACACATGCAGCTTATTTATAAGCAGGGGTGAACATGTCATATGTTTAGAGAAGGATGAGATTATGGCCTCTTAACAACTCGGCTTTCCTTTCTCCCCAGCCTGTCTAACTACAGTGAGGAGAACATGATGGACCCCTACAACCTGGCCATCTGTTTCGGCCCCACCCTGATGTCTGTTCCCGAGGGCCACGACCAGGTCTCTTGCCAGGCTCACGTCAACGAGCTCATTAAAACTATCATCATCCACCATGACACCATCTTTCCTGGACTGCAGGACCTGCAGGGCCCCATCTACACCATCCCTGGAACGGGGGATGACTTTTGGTAAGGCGACTGTGTGTGAAAAGAGAGTGATAAGTTACGTAGGGTATGAACTGGAACGCCAGTCGGAGGGCAGGGGATGTCTTGTCCAGTCATTATGTAGTAAGTGGGGGCTAGGGGATGATGAGGGGTCCAGACAGAGGGGGAGCGGGGGCATGATTTAGGGGCTGCCATGGCTCGGCTTGTCTGCTCCTCTCAGGGTCAGGCGGCCATGAGGATCAGCTTACCCTTCATTACACAGGGGATGAAAGTATCGCCTGACCACATCAGCCTAAGAGAACGTAGCGTACACACACTCCCTCACACTATAATGCGCACAAGGGCCAACTTTCAGTTTTACTGTAACGAGAAGCCTTGGCACCAGTTATTATGATTCCTGCAAGTCAGTGTATATGTTTAGACTGTAAGTCACACTGGAGGAGCAACTTTCAGTCTGTACTGGATGACGTACAGACAGGAAATATTATCACTCAGACATGGCTGGACTCTTTTGCACCCAGGTGTGTGTTCTTAGAATATGCAGTTTAGGAAAATACACTTTTGGTATTTAACTGGCTGATTCCTTTATTTTGGACTCATTAACGTTTGACTACTTTTTAAAACAAAAAATGTATTAACTTATTGATAAATAATCCATTCATTATCTATACCACTTATCCTAACGAGGGTCACGGGAGCCACCCCCAGGTGATATTGGCCAAGAGGCAGGTTACTGGGAGAACATGCACACTCCACACAGAAAGGCCGGGTCAGCCGGAGCTTGAACCCGGGGCCTTCTTGCTGTAAGGTGACAGTGCTAACCACTGCGCCACCTAGTTTTCTTAGTACCACTGAACAAAGAAATACAAGAAAAAATACAAAGCAGGAAATAAGACAAAGAAATCTGAGATCTATGTAGCCCTGACACCCTCTCCATATACCCCTCCAAAAATACAGCTTAAAAATATGCATTTTTAAATGATTGAAAAACTTGGGATACTTTACATTTGATGTCTGGTTTAGAGTTTTCTGAGTGTGGTGGTGCCTCGGGGTAGCAACACGTCTGATAGCACATTTCCAGCAGAATCCTTACTGCAAAGAGTGTCCAAGTTCACACAGTGGTTATGATCTCAGCACTAACACTATGACTGAGTAGAGGGATATGAGCTCAAGCTGTGAGTCATCAACACATGTTGTCGGTCTGAGACCTTTGGTAGTTGTCTGCTGAACTCATCCACCCTCTGTGTTCACTGTAGTGACAGTCTACACTGTGAGCCCCCCCTTGTGGAAGAGCCTGCATCTGACACTGTCTCTGTGAGCCACACCTACAGCGAAGATGGTGAATAACACACTTGTACACATAAATACTTGCATTAAATGTACTCTGACAAGTTTCTTCTTGGCACCACTTGTATGAGACCTCACCCTGCTTTCCTCACCAGTTACTGTGGCTTTAACCTTTTAAACCAGCTCACATTCTGTAACCTGTTCACTCTGTAACCTGTTCACTATGCTGCTTTGTTGCTGCTTAGCATTTTTTTAACCTCACCAAACACAGCAGCATTAACTTACTATGCACTAATCCAGCTTTCCCTCTCCACCATCTCTCTCTTCTCTCTGGTTTGTTGCTGCCTCCTGCTTCCCTGCTACTTCCTGTCTCCGTCCACCATTCTCTGAATCTCAGGCTCCTTGGCTGTTGCAGAGTTGGAACTGGTGGAAGCCATCGCTCGGTTCGACTACTCCGGACGGACTAGTCAGGAGCTGTCTTTTAAGAAAGGCGCCTCTCTGCTTCTGTACCGGCGAGCCTCTGACGACTGGTGGGAGGGACAACACAACGGAGTGGATGGACTGGTGCCACACCAGTACATTGTGGTCCCAGACACGTAAGATATCTTCTAGCCCTAGTCTTAATCAAATATCTGCTTAAGGAACTCCATAAAAAGGAAGTTGGACTATTTGTCAGTCTGGGTCTGTTCTCATATTTTTCTCTGTTATGAATGTTGATTATTTTTTACTGCCTCTGTTGGAGAGAGTTTTGTGAACTATGGTCAAAGAGCCTTCTTCAGGAAACATAAACAGCAATGTTCTCTCTTCAGTAGTCTGACCTAAAATAAACACAGAAAGCAGTCGAGTGGAAATCCCCTCAGCTAAGGAAGTTGCTGCTCTGCTATTCGGCTCAGATAGGAACTGCACATCAGTTGTCAGCTTTACCTGTTGTATTCATGTGGGCAGCTTGGCTTGTTTACTTAATTTTTTTTTTTTACACTTGTGTACATGCTAGATAGGAGCAAGCACAAGAAGATGGTTTAGGTTCCCAATTTTACAACTGAACAGATAAAGTGAGAAGGTACACGCTACACTCAGACACCTGCTGACTGATCTACAGCTCAGTTTACTACAGTAGCTATGGGATGTTACAGAGGAATATGTTCTGTGACTTTGCATAAGAGTTAACACAGATGAGTGTGTGAGGCTCAGTTGGTGCTCCGCTGTACAACAGACTGAATAAAGTGTTTTCTTTGACCACCTGTCATAATCGACTAAAAAATGAGAATAACACCCAGGCTGACAAATACAGGAATTCCCCTCGTTTTGAATTATTCATTTAGTGCAGCAGAAAAACAGTTTCCATCACAGATCATGCTTTCATACATCACTGCACTGTGGATATGACCCTATACAGTAGTTGGTTATTAGAACTAAAGTCAGCCTTGTCTGTCCTCGCGATGACTTATGAACTATGGAATGATTGTTTCAGGGCTGATGGGGGACAGGGAAGTCCAAAGCCTGATGTCGACTCCAGGGACCTGCTGGAGGAGAGGGTGTCCACTAGAGGCAGCGCTGCCTCTCCTACTGGAGCTCATGTCGCTGACATCTACCTAGCCAACCTGAACAAGTGTGTTCAGTTTACAGTTGTATTGACTGGCAGATCAGTTTGGGGTCAAAAATGTACTAGTGAAAATTAAAAACTGTAACAGAGGTATCAAAGCAATAAACAAAAGATTGTTGTTGTTGATTATAGACTTTGTGGCCTTGAATTGGCTTTTTACTGACCCCTTGAACTGAATCACAGCAACACAGAAATAATCTAACAGTCTAACTGGAATATTTCTTTCATTCAGGCTGAAAAAGCGCCCCGAGTCCGGGAGCATCCGAAGAACTTTCCGGAGCTCAGACAATGACAGTACTGGTCCAGGACCCAGTGGAGGGGGGAGAACAGCTTCTCTTCCTGTTGGAGGGGCTCTGGTGAAAGAAACTGGAGACAAACGACCCGTCAGCGCTCACAGCATTCTGAACTCTGTCACTCGCCATTCCTCTCTCAAGACCAAGGTACTGAAATGTCCTGTGCTGTGTTTCCATTATCGGAACCTAATGGGTGGTGTACCCCGTACTTCCCTTAACCATTGCCAAGCATACCCTCAAGGGTTGATGTGGACTGTCCTGCGTTGTTTTCCACTGTATAGTATTTTCTCTTTGTCTCTGGTCTACGTGCATGCACCCCTTCCCCCTGCACGGTCCTGGTACTTGATTTTAATAGTACTTCTGGAGGGGTGCAGAAATTTAGCTCCCAGAACCCACCTTCAAAGTGGGTGCACTGTAGTGGGAACAAGCTCAGAACCAGCAACTAGTGTTACTTGACACAGCATGTTTTGGTAGGTTCCTGTAATGGAAAACGCCCTTTACTCTGTCTTCATCTGGTTATGGTGGTGAATGGGCTGTTTTGTTGAAACGGACAAGCTTTTAACTGAGGCCATCGTGAACATTTAGGTGGAGAGTCCGCAGTTAAAGAAGACGACGACAGCAGGGCGATCTAAGAGCTTCAGTAACCACAGACCACTGGAGCCTGAGGTCATAACCCAGGTGGAGCACGGTTCACAGGTATTTTCCTCAGTTCACTTTCTAACTGCCCTCCAACCAGCTTTGTGTATGTGTTTTCTTTATGTCTCACTCTTGTGTTACAGGAAATTGAGGTGGCAATGAGCTCTGGCCTGAGTGAATTCAGTAAATTGGAAAGACAGAGCACTTCCAAGCATACACATGCCCCTGACGTGGTCCTGGACACACTGGAGCAGCTAAAAGGTGTGGGTGGTGGAGGAGGTGCCTCAGAGCCCTCCAGTCCACTCCACTCCCGTCTGCTGCGAGACAGTGAAGGAGTGTCCTCGCACACCCACCCGCTGCAGCGCAGCGCCTCCTCTGCCAGCGATGTACCTTCCTCCTTCCGCCCCATCAAGAGCCAGCCGCGGAACCCCTTGCCCTCCGCCACATCCACCTCTCTGTCCTCTTCCTCTCTCTCCTCCTCTGCTCCTTCCTTTAGAGAGCTGCGCCCCCCAGCAACAAGGCCGAAGCCAGTGGTCTTCCCAAAGAGCGGAGGAGGAGGAGGCAGTCCAGCACTGGGCTCCCCAACCTCCACTGTTGCTCCTACACCTCCTCCTCCACCTGCAGGCCACACACATTCTCTCCCTCAAACTCCTCCTCCTCCACCTTCACCCCAGTCTAACGACAAATCCTGCCCAGCATAGGACCTGATCTGAATCACAATATTGATTCTTACAGCTCTTACCGGGTGCTAGAAGCACTTCGTTTGTTTCACATCATACCCATAACCTACTACTCGTGTAGCATTCACCTCTCGGTGTCCAAGCAAGTTCTTAAGACTCCACGTTCCCTTTGAGAGTGTTGAATTTTCTCATGGCAGCTCTGCTTATGACAGGTCAGCTACCACAGGGCGTAGATTCATGAACACCCTTCAAAGATACCTTTTTTTTTGCCACCACTGAGATTCCAGGGACCACTGTCTTTTAAAATCTTTTTCAAGGGAACAGGACTCAGGATGGACACCTACAGACATACAGCACCAAGAGCGTACATACACTAATTTGTGATGTTTGAAATTGTGTTTGAGTGAGCATGCAAGAGTAGAGTGTTACTTGCCTTTACACATAGATCTAAGTGAGAAACAAAAGCACTGCTTGGTTTTTTGTATTGTAGAAACATGACAGTTTTTCTTTTTAATGACCACATGACTAGCAGAGTGGAGGGGAAGTGTTTGATTCCTGACTGTGAAATGATACGTTCCCACTCTGAGATGAAACACACTGACTTGCTGCTTCAGAAGTGAAAGACTGGAGATAAAGATGGACTTTTAGGATGATGAAAGGAAAGAAAACTGGGCCAAATATCAGTGCAAGTCATGATAAAAGCTTTATTTTATCTCTTCCTCCAGTGATTGTAGATGTAGATTTCTTTTTATCTAACAGGAGCAGTGTTCTCCAATATACCCAACATGGCTGACGGTAACTCTAGATCCATATATAGCAATAAAATGATGAAAGCTGGTGGTTTGGGGCATTATGCTGCTCTCTCCTTATGTGTGTAGGGGACCACTGAAACCCAGCATTTTTATATGTAATGTTGGACTGTACACATACACGCACATCTTTCCAGATCTGTGTGTGGTGGTGTTGGTTTTTGTGGCAGCTAAACGCCTTTCAGGTTTTCCTCACATGCTGGGGCCACAGACAGCAGCCACACTGGCGAGCTGGCCGATTGCATATGTATCTGCAGTACCAGCTGTTGAACAACTTCAGACAAAGTTACAGCTTGTTCCTTTAACTGTATTCTTCAGACTTACAGTAAAAATAAAAAAAAATAAAAAAAAAATTTTTATTATGCTAATGGCCTCTATGTATGTTTAATAACCATGCTGATAACTGGAAGCGCAGCGCTGTGGATCCTCCTGAGCGTGTTTAGATAGAAGCACAACCATCCACCTCATCCAGTGTGCTTTTATTATTACTTTTCTCCCAGTTGTTTGTTAATGCTCAGAACCTGTTACGGTAAAATGTGGGACTGTGTAGCCCGTCTGGGTGCGTGCATGTATGTGTGTGCTCCTGTGTGAGCACATGTGGATGTAGAGTATAAATGTATGCACCTCACCCCCACCCAACAGCAACAGTTGTCTGGAGACACACAGGAAAACGCTTCTTCCATAGTCTGGAGTAGTCACGGCCTTTGTGCTGAGTAAATATGCACTGTGTACATGTGACCAGATGAATTGCCTGCAGGGATACATGAAATGTCTTGTCTTCAGTCAGTGCTGTAACGACACTGGTGCCGGGATAAGAAAACCTTAATCCCAGGATTTAAAGGAAGACATTTGTGTGTGTGTGTGTTTTTTTTTTTTCTTGATACGTGTTCTTTGTAAAAGAAATTAGACCTGACGTTGAATTAAGGAATATGCAAACACTGACGTCAACTATGGAAACATGCCATTCAGGTTAAACTGAATAAAGTCTTTTTGTGTTGTATTTCACCTTTGTGAGAAAATATTAAACTAATTTGACCCTGGTGTCCTGATATTGCCTTCTGTCGCGCCTTTCTCCAAACACACAGCCCAAACTGTACTGCATTCCTGTATGCTTTCTACCAGGTAATGGATTATATTTAAGATTATTTTTAATCTGTATACTGTTTGTGTATTACCTGGTGTATTTGTGTTGCTCATACCTCATGACGACCGGAGGGACTGGGACTGTGAGAGTGTTTGTGGTGAGAGATGAACTCCCCTTATCAACACGCACACTCACACATTCAGATGCATGTGGGCGCTTGGTGTGTTTCGTCCTTGCTGCGTTGTTGAGGGGAGCTGGGACTCTCCCATTTCAAATCAATCGTCATGCACTTGAACAACCTGGCTTGCGTGTGAACTAACTGTGTTGGGATGATTTGTTGGAACTGAATATTGTTAAATATGCATTTTTGTGTCCATTTGAAAACAGCAGAACAAAAAAAAAAAAGTAATTTCAAATCTATTTATAGTCATCTCTGTATTACTGGAGAATCCTGTGTTCAGATGTGCTTTGTATATACAATGTTGTACATTACAGAGGTACACTCCTTTTTTTTTTGTACAATATTGTACAGTAATAGCAATAGTAGTTTAATCAAATAGGCCTTATATAATTCTATGTGTAGTTCTTGTAGTAGGTCTGTTTTTAATAAACATTGCTTGATATAAATATTCTCTATTTTTTGTTTCTTACAATAAACATATTACACTTGAGTTATAGAAACCTGGATCAGTGCATCCGTACAACAAAGATTCAACACCCTGTACAGTGCCTTGCGAAAGTATTCGGCCCCCTTGAACTTGAACATTTCAGGCTTCAAACATAAAAATATAAAACTGTAATTTTTTGTGAAGAATCAACAACAAGTGGGACACAATCATGAAGTGGAACGAAATTTATTGGATATTTCAAACTTTTTTAACAAATAAAAAACTGAAAAATTGGGCGTGCAAAATTATTCAGCCCCCTTAAGTTAATACTTTGTAGCGCCACCTTTTGCTGCGATTACAGCTGTAAGTCACTTGGGGTATGTCTCTATCAGTTTTGCACATCGAGAGACTGAAAT